TTCCAGCCATCTAATCTTTTAATGACTGTGTAATAATTTTATGAATTTGCATTCCTCACTCTCTCATACAAATGTACTATAATAGATATTATGACATTCTTGCACAAAGTATTTCTTATGTACAAAAACTCAGTGCCATGGGTCAGCATTCTGTCTAAGTTGTGTGGTGTGCGCAGCCACGCAGGTGCACTCATAACACACTGCCAGGCACACCTGCACAGCTGTGCATGCCACACAGCTTAGACGGAATGCTGCCAAGGGTGCAAGATGGCCACAGTGATGGGGCATATTTTGCTAGGCTAGGTGCAGACATTCAAAAAGCTGGAGCCTGAATTGATTCAACCTTTGCAAGGTAGTCTAAACTACCTAGGTTGAACCGGTTTGTAACAGGATAAACCTTCTCTCTGGACTGAGGAACTGCAAGCACATGAATGCAGTTGCTCAGGCCAGGAGCCAGGGGGCACTAGAGCCAGCCCTCAGCTGCAGGAAAGTATGTTGGGAGGGTGTGGTCAGTCCAGGCTGAACTGGCTGGAGAGGGGTTTAATTCCCCCTTCCCTGTGCCACTGTCAGGGACCCAAGCCGTGTCTGCCGGATGCTCCCCACTCACTGCTGCAGCAGTAGGGCACCACGTCCCCTGAAGCGAAGAGGGTTAGTATCTCTTCTACCCCATTGGCAGCTGGATCTGCCCACTGTTGCCACCGTGCTTGTTCCCTGTGGGGGAATAATGAGGACCTTTGATGGGAGCAGCAGCCCCTGTCATAATGGTGGGGAGTGTGGCTCAGGTCCCTGCCAGTGGCACAGCCTAGCTACCCTCTCTAGCTACCCTCTCTAGCTAGACCCCTGCCTCCACCTGTCCCTGCTCTGGCTGGGAAGCAGAGGGGTCTGGCCAGCTTGGCTGGGCTGGAGCAGAGAGCCTAGCCCAGAGAACATGCCAGGATCCTGGGAGAGTTTGGTTTAACTTAAACCAGGAAGGGGTCTGGGACAGACATTGCATAAACCAGTTTGACCCAAATCAGTTACATCTGATACTACATTCAACCAGGTTTATCTCAAACCAGTTTCAACCATTTTGAAACTGGTTCACGTGCACTGAATGTCTGTTCTGTTACAAGTTTAAACTAGTTTCTGATCACTTTAATTGGTTTGTGTGTAAGGTCTGTCCCTAGCCCTAGAGAACAACCCCCCAACACTGGTGTTTTCCCCCCTGATCTGCTCCTTCTCTTGCCAGAGAGTTTTGGCAGTGGATTGTGAAGAAGGTACACATTTCTCCCTCCACCCTCTCCTCACCTAACTATGTATCTCCCATTTTGTAAATGACAAAATTAGATGTATTCCAGCGAAGGATAGCATTGGATAAAATATGATTATCCTGCTGTCCTCACTTCCTTTTTGTAACCCCAATAGTATTTTTAGAAGTCCTCCAATCCCATTTTTATTTCCTGTATCTATTGCTCACCTTCCTGCTTTTTATCTTTTACTTCAATTTCTGTGTCTAGTCTCTGCCTTACTTCCTTTGTTTTCAGTTTAGTTTTCTTTGCTTTCCTTTACAAGTTTTCTTTCCTTTTTTCACTTTGTATTTTTTTCCCTTTGTACATCCATCTTCCACATATAAATCTTCCTCTCTCCTTCACTCTCCCTCTCTTTTCACCTAATCACCATGACTATGAGTTGGGAAATGACATTTGATTAATTTTGTTTTGATTTGTTTTTAACGTCATGTTTCTTCAAAACATTTCAGGTTTATGTCAGGAAAACAAAAAACTATTGGGATTTTTTAACCACAATGTGTTAAGTGCTGGTTACAAAAACCTGTAAAAACATAGCTTTATTATAAAAAGATCTTAAAAAACTGAAAAACATATGGAAATGAAAAATTTTCATATATTTTTCATTTTGTCAAAAATGTTGTAATAGTCTTATCCACCACTCGTCCTGCTCTCCCACGTATCCCCATGCAGTCTCACCCCTACACTCACAGTCTCTCTCTCCTACCCTATTCTCACACTTGGCTTTTTATTCCTTTTCTCAGTCATCCTACCCTTGCTTTCGCTGATGCCATCTCCAATAAACTCCCTCATCTGTGCCACCTGTTGTCTTCAGCCCTGTATAACTGACAAATATATATGAAATACAGAAATGATGCTTGTTCAGAACTTCTGATGATGCGTGTTATGACTGCCAAAAAGCCTCTTGCTTCAAAATAAGAACACACACAGGTGAGCATGGGTGCTGCAAAACAGCAAGGGCAGAAAAAAAGACATAGGACAAATTGTGAGAGAGGCAACTAGGCAAGTAAACTATTGAAAAAAATATAGAAGTTGCTGAGATGTTGTCAAAAGTCAGACTACTCTGAAATGACTGTGCCATTTCAACTGGCTTATCTGGATGACTTAAAAAACAGTTTCCATGAAGTTCAGCACCAGGTGATGTCATTGAAATCTATTTTTCTAAGGTAGCTGGGTCAGTTCCTACTTTTTGGACTGAAAATATCCATAGCTGAAAAAACCCCAACATACTCCAACTCAGACCTCCAAGCAACTGTCCTGTTTTGAGCAACTGGACACCTCAGCCACACCTAAGCTCTACTACTGTGATCTAAAACAGAGGTGGGGCAATGCTTGAGCCCTACCTCAGAGGCCCAGTCTGGCAAGCATGCTCCGGGCCCGCTTAACATACACCGACAACACAGCAGTCAACACAAAAGCACAGCAGCCACCATCAGTCAAAAACATAGTTGTATACCTAGTGTTTGCCCAATAGTTGAGTGGTTAAAGCACTCACCCAGGAAATGGGAGAACTGGATTCTATATTTGCCTCACTCTAATGGGTTTCAAACCTGTACCTCCTACTTTCCAAGAATGCTCCTTTCCCATTAAATATAATCCTGCTAGAGCTGGGCCACTGGGCAACCAAGAATACAAGTGTCATGGGGGCACAAGCATAACTAACAAGTGGGAATGTGACTTTATAGCCCAGCAATTCAGAGTGCTCAGCTGGAAGAATAAGACCTTGGTTCTGGACCTTGCTCCCCTCAATAGTATATGCATTTTACATTGGAGAATCATCAGATGAAAAATAGCAATAACCTCAAGAAGCAGGGACCAGAACTCATGACTCCTCCCTCCCAGAGGAGTGCCCTATAAGAATACAGAGTCATGCTCCATCTCCTATTCCATTAATCTTACAGTCTTGGCTATGGAGTTGCATAAAAGATCAGCCTTTGTACTGCCCTCTTCCTTTCAACTTACTCCTCAATATGAAGAGCCAGACAGGCAGAGAGAACTGGTAAGGCCATGCTATTTACCCCAGACTGAGGCCAGGACAGGAAAAGACAGTTGCAGGGTCACCCATTTTCTCTGAACAGGAAGGTATGTTTGAAACAGCATCCTCTACACCTTCCCCTTAGATGGAACCAATGGGGAGATAGATAAACCTAATGGCTAGGGACATAAGTTACGCATAAACCAGCTTAAGTGATCGGAAACTGGTTTAAACCTGTAACAAAACAGAAGCTCAGTACACATAAACCAGTTTCAAAATGGCTGAAACTGGTTTAAGATAAACCTGGTTAAATATAGTATCAGATTTAACTGATTTGGGTCAAACCGGTTTATGATACTTCTGTCCCAGACCCCTTCTTGGTTCAAATTAAATCAAAGTCCCCCAGCATCCCAGCATGTTTTCCAGCCCTGGGGTGGGCTATGCTGTCTGCTCCAGAGAGCAGGGCTGGCCCCATGTTCTGCTCCCTAGCTGAAGCAGTGACAGCTGGCTAACAAGGGAAGTGGGGAAGATAAGCCCAGCTGGGGATGCAGCCCAGTCTGGTGGGGAGGGGAGGGGAGGGCAGGGCTGGGCTGCCCCTAGGCAGGTTAAACACCTCCTCCCCCACTCAAACTTACTGCTGGCTGCAACTGTAGACTACAAATCCTGACGGCATCTGGAAGCAGGAAGAGGCAATGATCACTGATAAGCAACTCTGCAGAGTCCTGCCATTGTAATTCTGACCCCAGAGACCTTGGGGGCAGCAGGAAGTAGAAGTGAACACATAGCCAGAGAGCCATGCTCTAGCATCACCCTGCTTTCTGGCCTGAGCCACTGCAGGCATGTGGCTGCATTTCCTGAATCAAAGGTAAATGTCTGCTCACTTCTGTTTCAATTTAATCTGTGCAGTTTAGACTAACCTGCAAAGACAGAATCGATTCAGCCTTGGGCTTTTTGACTGTCTTTACCTAGCCATAGACAAAAGAGATTGAGATAGCTAGGAGTTAATCAACTTGGACAATTCTCTGACCAGCACTCAGTATTGCTCCACTTACTGGAAAAAATGCCAAAAACCTCAG